CCGTCGCGGCCCTTCGGTTTGGGTCGTGACATAATTAATACATTAGCTAAAGAGATAAGTCTTTTTGGAGAATAGGATTTCAGATTTCTCTGAACTTCCCTGAAGTTTACCTCTTTGTTGACATTGTCTTCATCATCATCTGATTAAGCCATCAGAGCAAACGTTGAGTCATCTCCAAACTCCTCGCCTTCAACTACCACAATGGAACTATCACCAATATCAGGTTCATCTTCAGACTCACTAGAGGAATCCCCCATGCTGCAAGAGCCTGTCTCATCGTATTGTCAGCGGATCCTTTTCTCTTGAAGTCCTTGAAGAATTCTTATTTCAAGAGAGGACAGCCTTTCATGAAGTGTCTAGGCTTTCCACACTTGTGACAAAGATCACAGTTTTTTGGTCTGTTAGAGTCGTCCCCTTTTAGCATTTCTCCATTTCTTCTGACCTTCTTCTGAAATCTTTTGGTTAAGTAAGCCATGTCACTGTCTTCCTCACTTGAATCATTATTATCAGCTTTGAGTACCAGATTCTTTTCCTTCTTTGGTTCTCCTCTTTCACTGTCTATCTTTCTCTTCAGCTCATAGGTCTTCAAGTTTCCGATCAGCTCTTCTATGGTCAGCTCCTGTAAGTTCTTTGATTCAGTAATAGCATTCACTTTGCTTTCCCAAGAGCTAGGCAGAAAACTGAGAATTTTCCTCACTAGCTTGTTTCTGGGAATAGCTTCACCGAGTGAGTGTAGCTCATTTATGATGGAAGTGAATCTTGTGTGCATATCTTGAACGGATTCATCGTCCCTCATTTTAAAGAGTTCATACTCGGTAGTGAGCATATCGATCTTAGACTGCTTTACTTGTGTAGTTCCCTCATGAGTTGTTTGCAAGGCTTCCCATATTTCCTTGGCAGTGTCGCAGGTTGAGATTCTATTGTACTCTTCAGGTCCTATTCCATGCACTAGAATTTTCTTGGCACGAAAATTCTTCTCAACAGCTTTCTTGTCTGCTTCAGTGTACTCTTTGCTGGTTTTTGTCATTGAAAAAGGAAGTTCCTCTAATACCTTGGTTGGAACATAAGGACCATCGCATATGATATCCCATAACTCACAATCCTCAGCCATGATGAAATCGTGTATTCTTGCTTTCTACCACCCATAGTATTGTCCATTGAACTTGGGTGGTCGATTGACCTTCTTTAAAATTTGGTGGAGCAGCCATGAGGATCCTTCCTAGGTGTTAGCCTGATAGGAGGAACCCGCTCTGATACCAATTGTTAGTTTGTATGAGTCCACCAAACAGTAGAGTACTTGGTCCTCTATAAGATTCTGCTGAGAATGCTAATATAACAGTATGTAAATAAGGCAGAGTATTTTTACGTGGAAAAATCCCACACAAGGGGATCAAAAAACCACGACCTACACCTGTAGGCTTTTAACTTCGCTAACTTGCAATCTCCCTATTACAAGCCACTTTACAATAACCCTATTGCAAAGACTTCAACTAACTTGTGATGCTCTCATCACAAGTCACTCTATAACTATCCTAGTTACAAAGGCTTTGACTAACTTGTAATGTTTCCACCACAAGCCACTTTGTCACACTGCGGTTACAAAGGATTTTGCTTATGACTACACCTAGTCACAACATAAACTCAGGGAGTTTACGAATTTACAAAGGGATTCCTAATCAATGCTTCTAGCTAAGAAATTTAGGAGATATAATAAGTACAATCACAAAGTTACAACTCAACTAAGACAACAACATGCTAACTTTTGGGAACAGGTCCGTAGTTGTGTTCAGCTTTGTTCTTCAAGCTCATGAGGATTGATTTCTCAGTTTTTGCGAGAGGCTTGAATGAGAAACAGAAACCTTCGAGTGATGTTTTGTATAAGATCATTGTAGGTACACCTAAATCACATCACTTGAAATGATGTGATTACTTTATATGGTAAGAGAATGAGTGGGCGCTAGAGACAGTATAGTGCGGCAGAAACAGTACAGGCAGTCACTTCGTTTCTAGCTGTGTCCAATTGACTTTGTACTGCCGTGAGGAACCCACAAGAGTATCAGGTCCTTGTTTGGGTTCCTACCTCCTGAAGCTGTAGCAAGTTCACATTTGGCTGGAATCCGTTAGATGAAGTGTAATCCAAGTGAGTCAGGTTCCCTATCTGGTTCTTGACATTAAGTTTGTTAGATCATCAAAACACAAGGCAAAGAACACTTCAAACCTATCAGACATGTTGATTCCTGAAATCAAAGACACTTACGAGAACAAACGTAAAGAAGTGTGTGTTATGAGGATTAATACCAGCCAATCACTATTATCCTTTGCCCTACGGTGGGCGCCAAACTGTTTATCCTAAAAATTGAATAACAATTAAATTTATAATATGATTTTAAGGACACGTGATTTTACCTGATACCAATTGATAAAAGTAGAAATTAGCAGTAAAGATTAACAATATGATAAGGCAAACCAGCCTTGAAACTTGATTCAGCCTCGAACTTAAGTGCCCTCGAACTGATTGGTGCCTAAAATAGTTAAGAAACAAACTAACCGATAAACATGGAATATGACCTAGAAAGTATTGTATTGCTTTGATATACGTGAATGTAAGATGATTACAAAATGATTAGGACCCTTTTCATATAGTAGAGGAGTCATGTTTATAGTACAATTCTAATTACGGAAGTAAATTCCATGATTAACTAAATAATCGCCCTTGATTTGATCTGTTCCGAAATTTACGCCATGATCTTCGGTCAATCACGGATATTTCGCCTTTCTGTTATTGTGCTTTGCTCGATGCCTATCTCGTTTGGTCTTGATCGCTATCGGCCTCGATCTTTGATAGGTGCCTCGGCCCTCGAACTCGGTGCCTTATCCTCGTACCTCGATCTGATCCTTTGCAAGGCCGACCTTTGATGCAATTCCCTAACGTCGATCAAATAGTAAAATTGGGTTCGATTTTAACCGTATACAAATTTTGAATCTGAAATTTTTGATTTGTTGGAGATTTGAAGGTGTTGTTTGAGTTGTTAAGCTTCAAATTGATTAAAGAACTCATTCCAACCAGTTATTGCTGTGTGAAATCTGACTTAGAAATTAAATTGTTAAAGAAAATATTTGAAGACGTTCTTTGATTTTTTATTTTAGAAAAGAATTCAAAATGGTGTGATTGATCGAAAAATAATGTTGGAGATATCCGCCGAGCTTTATTGGCGTGGGAATATCTGTCGATGCCGATTCAGTTGAGTATTTGATATTTTGTTGTGATTTCTTTTCAGCTATGGATGCTCCAGCTCTTTGATGATGGTGGTCCACTATTTTTTGTTTCTTTCTTTCTTTCTTTTTCTGAAAGAAGAAGAAGAATGAAGTTGCCAAAAAGGGGTGACATTGAGTTGGGTTATGGGTGGGCGGAGGTTAAATGAAGCGGGTAAAAAGAAGAGATGAGTCATTTTGTTCATGAGCTGCCACGTGTTCCTCCGTTAAAATTAAGGATAATTCTGGCTTAAAGTATAGCGGTAGAGGCTAGGATGACCAAAGAGTATAACGAATGTCTTTTTGGAACCTTTTTCGATAGTGCAGAAATATTAAGACCTTTTCTGTTGTAAGTAACAAAATTCCTCTCCCACCCTTTTCCTACACTAATTAAGTCTAATTCTTAATAGCTTGTTTGGATGGTTGTTATGCAGTATATTGTATTGTATTATATCATTTTGATGTTGTATAATGATTAGATAAATTGTATTGTTAGTAAGATACAGGATACAATACAATTATTATATTAAAAGCACACTAAGGCCTCATTTGTTTGCACTTAATGGAGGTCTGAATCTTAATCATTCAGATCTCAGACATTAAGTGCGTTTGTTTTTAAAGTCTGAATCTTAATTATGCAGATCTTAATCATTAAGTGTGTTTTTTTAACTTCACAACCACTTATTAGGTCTGAATAGGTCTGTATGATTAAGATCTATAATAGAGACTTAATTTCATTAAGATGCTATCACATATTTATTATTAATTGCCACCACCGCCTACCATTATCAACTACCACCATGCTACCACCACCACCACCTCCACCACCACCACGTCACCATCATCCTCAATCATAGCCGCCACCATTATAGACCATCACCACCCACTATCCCCACGACTCCGACCACCAATATCATTCTCACCCACAATCAACACTCATCCACCTCAACTAGAACAACTGACCACCCCATCACCATCAACAACCACAGCCGGCATTGCCCATCATTATAACCTACCACCACCAACCCACCACCTTCATCAGTCACAACTACTACCACCACCCGCCATTATTAACTATCACCACCCGCCACCACCATCCTCAATCATAATCGCCACCACTGCCAATCACTACTAGCTACTAGCATGAACCACCACCATCAACCAAAACTACCACCAACCACCACCTCTAGTCGGCATTCACCTGTTAGCCATCACCACCAACAACTATTGTATTTTAAAAAGCTATATATTTTATTGATAGAATTTTAGATTAGTTAGTATTTCATTTGAATTTTATGTTTATTAATTTTCAATAAAGATAAATTTTATACATTCAGATGTTAAAAATCAAACAGTCTTAATTATTTATATTCAGATCTTAATATACATCTTAATATATTCAGATGTATATTCAGATTCAGATGTCTTAATCTTAATACACATTTTGATATTCAGATGTGTATTTAGATTCAGACGTCTTAATATTAAAAAAATCAAATAAGGCCTAAATCAGTCTTTTAGTAAAGTGACACTTTAGAGGGTGTTTGGATTGACTTATTTTAAGTGCTTATTGGTTTTTAAGCACTTTTTTAGTTTGTGTGGTGTTTGACAATGATAAAAAGTACTTAAAAGCACTTACTTTTAAACATAAAAAGTATAAAAATAAGCCAAAAACCAAAATGGTTATTAACAACTTATGAATTTTGGCTTTTAACTTAAAAGCTAGTACTTTTTTTAAGCCAATCCAACTACCTCTAAAAACGAGAGGGTTTTCAAGGGTTTTGCATCTCCCTGTATCCGTTAGAAGAGAGAGATCACGGCAGCCATGAATCAGGGCAAGAGAATCCTGAGTTCGCTTCGACTGAGGAAATCGCTGTTTCTTACTCAGCTTTCTCGAGCTCCCTCGCCCAACCCTCAGGTGAATCACTACTTTTACCTTTCTCCTTCCCTTCCCACACAAATTTACACTTCTGCTACTATACTCGGCGCCCCTCAAAATGTTTCCTTTTCATCGAAACCTCAATCTTTTGTAGACATTATACTATCCAACGACTGGTCCAAACATTTAGAAAAGGATTTAGGAAAACTTGATTTTCCGGTGACCCATGAAGCTGTTATGTATCTGCTGAAGAAACTTGATAAAGACCCGAAAAAGGCTGGAAATTTCTTGAAATGGGTAATTAACCAAAAGGGGTTCGAACCTAGTTCTGCTATGTACAGTTTGATGCTTAGAATTTATGCAAATAAGGATTCCATGAAGGACTTTTGGATTACTATTAAGGAAATGAAAGAGAAGGGTTTTTTTATTGATGAGGAAACTTATAAGTCAATTCATTCCATTTTTAGGAATTTGAAAATGGAAACTGATGCCACTGCTTTGAAGCATTTCTATGGTAGGATGATTAAAGAAAATGCTATGGGTGATTTGGCAAGCGATGTGTCCGAATTGATTAAGAAACAAGAATGGGGATTCGAGGTGGAGAGACAATTACGGGAAATGAAACTCTCGGTGTCGGATAATTTTGTGCTTAGGGTGTTGAAGGAACTTAGGGAAATAGGATATCCACTTAAAGCTTTCAACTTTTTCAAATGGGTTGCTAGGAGTTTAGGTTTTCAGCATAACACTGTTACTTATAATGGGATTCTTAGGGTTCTTTGCCGAGAAGAGTCGATTGAAGAGTTTTGGAGTGTGGTAGAAGAAATGAAGAGCATTGGTTTTGAAATAGATCTTGATACATATATAAAGATCTCAAGGCATTTTCAGAAGATTAGGATGTTGAGAGATGCAGTAGAACTATATGAGCTGATGATGGACAGTCAGTTTAAACCATCACTTGGTGAGTGTAATATTCTTTTAAGATCCATCGCTCAGTCAAATCCCCCAGATCTTGATCTGCTATTTAGAGTTGTGGGAAAATTTGAGGCAGCAGGGCATTCACGCTCAAAGATTATTTATGATGTCATTCATAGGTGTTTGACTAACTTGGGGCGATTCGAGGAAGCAGAAAAGATAACAGAAGCTATGAGAGATGCAGGATATGAACCTGACAATATTACCTACAGCCAATTAATCTATGGACTCTGCAAAATGAGGAGGCTGGAGGAGGCCTCGAAGGTGATTGATGTGATGGAAGAATGTGGATGCATTCCGGATATCAAGACTTGGACGGTTCTGATACAAGGGCATTGTTTAGCTGGTGAAGTTGATAAGGCGCTGTTTTGTTTTGCTAAGATGATGGAGAAAAATGTTGATACAGATGCTGATCTGTTGGATGTACTGCTTAACGGTTTCCTAAGTCAGAGAAGAGTTTTTGGTGCATATCAGTTGTTGATCGAGATGGTGAATAGGTTTCAAATGCGCCCATGGCAAGCAACATACAAACTTATAATTCAAAAGCTCTTAGGGGAAAGGAAATTCGAAGAAGCACTAGATCTCCTTCGCCGGATGAAAAAACACAATTATCCACCTTTTCCTGAACCCTTTCATCAATATATTTCAAAGTCAGGAACAGTGGAAGATGCGGTGGAGTTTTTGAAGGCGTTGAGTGTCAAGGACTATCCATCTGTTTCAGCCTACCAACATGTTTTCCAGACCTTCTTTGCAGAAGGTAGGCATTCTGAGGCAAAAGATCTGCTTTATAAGTGCCCACATCATATACGCCAACACCCAGCAATTTGTGGCCTCTTTGGTTCTCCAAATTCCAACAGTGGAAAAGTAAAAAGGTTCACCCGGAAGAGCTTGAGTTCTGCTTAGGGCGCAAGGTGCAGTTAGTTCTTGAAGAGTGAAAAGAGCTCGCAAGATCATTCATCTGCATTTTCCATCCTTTCTACTGTCACTGCTTGTGTCTTAGAGATGTGGAGTTATAAAGAAAGAATAAGAGTATAATTGAAGCAAAGGACTGTCTTGTCTATACGTGTACCACTCTGATCAGCATTTAAGATTTTAATCACAGGACTTGGAAGATTTTAAAGAAATGAATCCTGGTCCGGCTGGGCTGTGACTGATGCTCCTGATGGAAAAATTGATGGAAAAATTAACAGAAGACCAAGAAATAGTGGGCGTGGTGAGGCTTAAATAGCTGGTAGTTTACTTTCCTTCTTTTTCTTGTATGGATATCTCCATTTATTTGTCATATTGGTGCTTGTATTTTTCTCCAACAATTATTTCATTTTTGAAATACTTATAATTATGGATAACTGAAAAGTATGGTTTTCATTGGCCATGGATCAGAATAGTTAATGCACTCTTGTCTGTTACTTGGCATCTCAAAAAATCTCATAGATTTAGCCTCTCTAATTAAATACACCTTTTCCGAAGTCTATAATTTCAACAACTTTGTTTCATAATCACATCACCAGTAGCTCTTCGTCACTTGCAGGAAAAGGCAATAAGACCTTATTAATCAAGTGCTGGTTCACATGACACCTAGTTCTCTTGGCATTTTACCAGTGCTAGTACCTCCATATGCCATAAGACCTTAATGCACGCAAAAATCTGCCAGGTTCACATATTTAAGGATGGGCAAGTGCTGTATGTGCGAAGATAGGTCAGCCTTTGCAAGTCTACTTCAGTTTCCTGCTTCGAATTCCCTTATTTTGATGGGAAGGAGATCATTTGCTCTTGTGGCACCTTTAGTTTCCTCCTTAACAAATTCACACATTTGCTTGAAGCCCGACTTTAGCATACCAATGTGAAGTTCGATGCACTGGATATTTATTTTGGCAAGTCATGCTTGAAAGATGTTCTAGCTGACTGTTAGAGCTAGGAAGCATGTTTTATTAAGCTGAGATAATGAATGACAAAATGGATTTGACAGTATTGGTTCTGTTCTAATGGCCAATTAGTGGATCTTTGTCTCAACCTCTGATGTGGAGTTGATTGTTTGTAGGATCTGGTGAAACTGAACATTGTCATAACATGTATTTTGTGTTACTATAACTTTTGGAGTTTACTGTTTGAAGTGGTGTAAGTTGAACTGAGCATCCCCCCCCCCCCCCCCCAAAACATCAACTGCAGCTTTGCAATCTTTTGTTCTGAATCAAACTAGCACAACTCCTGTTGCCATAAATGATACAGCAATATATCTTCAAATATTTTTGGTTTGATGTCATTCCTTTTTTTTGTAGTCGATAGGTTTTATGCCCGTTTTTGAATCGTTATTTGGCCTAATTATTGTGCATGTAGTCTCGTTGAATAAAATTGCAATGGTAAAGTTGTCTCCGTGTGACCCTATCCAAAAATGTTATCGCACCCGTGAATCCTCCAAAATACACTACTTTTGGAGGATCCGATACGTACCGGACGATAATTTCGGAGAGTCCGAGCAACATAGGTGTGACTTAGCACGGGTTCAAAGCGGTGGAAGCAGCCACTAATGTTTGTATTAGGGTAGATTGTTCACATCAAACCTCCTTGGGGAGCAACCCTTACCCGGATCCTGCGTGAACGCAAGATGCTTTGTGCACCAGGCTGCCTTTAGTGCAGAAATAACTATTGGCGCCGAGGTGCAATCATTTCTTTTGGGTTGCCTTCTCAGGGTTATGCTGAACTATGATATAGAGGAATAGGGTTACTTGTAATGCCTCTGTCTTTGTGCGTAAAATGTTACAAATAACATGCCTGGATAAGTTTCAATGATCTGCACTTTGCTTATCATCTCCTCGTTTGCCTACTTGGAAGGATGTTCAGTTTATAATGCAACGATACTATTGGTGAAAAGAAAGGTGAAACGAAAGAGCCATCAGCATTGTCTGTATTGTATGTATCAATCCTTCGTTTTTTCGAGAATGGTAACAGTATTACATATCATTAGCACAAGGAAAGTGCTGGAAGCCATATGTACGTTACAAAAAGATTATGCTTGTGCAATGATATTGCTATGGACCATCCTTTTGCAGTGTTTGGTGCTTGTCACTTTTCAGTTTGCTTTCCATTGAGGCATTGATAGGTTACAAGTACCTTGTTATATGTTTTGATGATCTGACAAACTTACTGTCAAGAACCAGATAAGGAACCTGTTACACATTCTCAAGACCTTAAGATCAAAAGGTTCTAGCTTGGGATATGGTTCAAATCTGCAGAGTTAGAGGAACAACAGAGGGAACAGATAGCTACCATTTTCCGAGGAAACTGCACAAGTCAACTGCCCCAGTTGTAAAGTTGTTGCCTGCACACGCTACAGTGCAGAAACAGTGCAGCGGTCAACTTTATGGGGAGTGTCTTTTACCTACCTTGCTTACATCATCCCAAGTGATGTCACAAATCTTCTATATATTATTAAAAGGAGAAGAAAAAGGCATCCTATTAAGCCAAGTGGCATAACAACAACTAGCGAAGTGACACTCCTTTAGGACAAAGCTCCAAAAATTTTGGAGTTTGAAATATTAAGTCTGAAACAAATAATAACAAAAGAGAGGAAAATCTAATGCAATCCTCTAAATCACGTACCCACTTCCCATCCCCCATTTTGCGTGCACATCCACTTGAACACAACCACTTGCATACATGCATACTGAAATATAGGATATTACACGACAAAAAATGAGAGAGACCAAATAATTGTCATCTTTATAAATGCGTTTACAATTAACCCTTTCATTTTATCTCCATCAGTTTTTAGAGGATAACTGCCATAACAGAGAAAAAATTATTACTCTATGCTTTGAGTAGGATGGAAGACGGGGTTAATTTGGGTAAGGGAACGTCAAACAACCAAGTTCTAATTAAGAGAACTCTCTTCTACATTGAAAGCAACCATATTGATTTGCGTATGAGAGCTTTATTTTTATTTTTTTTGTAAGTAACACTCTTCACCTTCTGTACGTTTTAAATTTTGTTTATGTTGGGTTTATAAAAAAAATTACTGTTTCTGCAGCGAGATGTTGCCCAGATTCTTATATGTTTACTAAAGTTGTTTGGCTTAATATCTCCTCTTATTTTAACTGCATTTTTTGTGGATTCTTCATTCTTCTCTAAATAAATTAAATTTTTTCTTTTTTGTTTAATTTTAGGCGCAACAATAGGGGATTATCACTATCAATAAAGTCAAACCATTTAATAAAGAAGATCAAGATTTTTTATTACAGAAAAAGGAAAATACTTCATATGACGAAGAAATGAAAAAAGAGCACCTGAGAATGACGTCAAAGTCCATGGCAAAAAAATATAGTGACGGTACAGACAGAGATATTTACGTGCTAACCACTAAGATTCGTATTCTCTCAAAAAGCTCAAAAGTTACAACTTTAGAGAAGATTGTATCCAACGAAAAATAAAGAATAAAACCATAATATAAAACTAGAAGAAGTCTATTACATAAAATGTGAGACACAAATTTTAAAAAGTTAGTTAACCAAGTTCAGTGGTTCGCATAACTTCATTACAACACTCTGGTCTTGGTAAAGAAAAAATATATATAATACTGACCAAGACTCTGCAACACACACATGGACTCTACATAGTAATTATTTAGGCTAACACCTCTAAGACTCCTATAGGGAGCTTAAAACTAAATAAAGGACTGCAAAATGGCCACGTATCTCTGATAAATTACTCTTTTCAATATATGTATTACTCTGTATTGTATGTTCATCTTCCTGATTAATTTATTGAGGAAATAATCTTAAATCCCAACTTCATAAATATGTAAAGAGAGAAAGCAAGTCTTTGATATAGACCAACTTAAAGTTTAGTTACTTTTCCGTCCCAATTTATATGAAGATTGACCTATTTGGGAGTCGAACAACTCTTTCTTTGGCTACAATTTTCTCCAATTCTTTTCATATATTTGTGAATTATTGATTATCCAGACTTATAGTAATTTTTATGTAGTTTCAAATACGTAAATTTTATTAAAAAATACTCGAAGAATCTATATTTGAAATTGAGTCAAAGGAAGAGCTATTTGACTCCCCAAATAGGTCAACCCTCATATAAGTTGGAATGGAAAGAGTACATCTTATGTGATATGGATGGTAAGAACAAAGATATTATGCTATATCTTCTGATATCGCTACTTTGTTTGTATATGTGTGTACGTACGTTTGAATAGTCAAGTATAAAGTGTCCTAAGATGATTAGCTCGAGAAGATGCATGTTTTATGTTCCCTTTTTCACATTAGCATTCTGCTAGGATAATCACATTTTTACCCATTAATCAGATGCTCAAAACTTTACTATCATTTTATGATAACAGAAAATTCATATGGGCAAATTTTATGTGTATGTTTTGTGTGTGCGTCTAATCAAGTTTATCATGTAGTTAATAATTTTATTGAGATATGGAAGAATATGCTAAAGATATATGATCAAAACTCGCGCGAGTTTGCCATGACATATGTGGCTGAAAGTTGATGGGAACACATAGAAACATCAAAAGTATAAATATTGTAAAATCTTAAGAAAATTAAATTGTACAAAGCTTTCCTTTGGAAAATTTTTAAGCAATTTTACTTTATTTATAATTGATTAGGATACCTACGGCATATTTTTTTAATCGCAATGAAAACTATAATGTGTCAGATGCTTGATTCACATATAATCATAGAGCGTTCTCAATGTCTTCTTTCCTTAGATATTATTAACAAACAAAATGGAGATCATTGAGGAATCTTAAAAGTAGAAAGCGGGCTACTATCAAACTCTGATGTTATGTATAAACTAATGCATACATATTAGAACTATTATGCTTTGAATAAAGTTCTGCGGTTACAGTTATGTTAAGCTAATTATGCTTTACTGTGATGAACGCAATTATACTATGAAATAGCTTCAACTTTCAGTATTTGTTTTCTTTACTACAACATCCGTGAATTATACAAGTACATATAACAACAAATAATAATATACCCAGTATAACTCCACATTATGGGTCTGGAAAGGGTAAAGTGTATGTAGTCCTTACCCCTATCTTGTGGAGGTGAGAAGTTGTTTCCGAAAGCCCCTCGGCGGGTACTTATAATATATATAAAAGCAAGAACTTTAGATTTGTCATTGTACCAACTGTCTTTATTATAATACGTCCATAAAATTTACATTTAGCTAAAATAAGACAATAATTTTTTATGATTTTTTTCTCTAGCACTTTTCACGCATCGCGTGGGTACGATACTAGTGTATTATTAACATCAAGGAAGGTAAAACAAATCTCCCCAACACTTAGAGAATTCACTCAAGCACTCTCCATTATTGATTATCAAGAAAACAATTCTCAAGTGCATCAAGAATAAAGAACAACACTGCTACGGACCAGTTCCCATAATAAGTTGTTGTATGTCCTTGGTTGAGTTGTAACTTTGTAATAGTTCTTCAAGTGTAATTCCTACTTAGCTTGTTTAGAAGCATTGTGTAAGAAACCCTTTGTAAATTATAAACCCTTGTGTTTGTGTCTTGGCTGTTAGTCAAGTTGTAAAGTCTTTGTAGTAAAGTCATTGCAAAGTGACTTGTAATAGACTGTTACAAGTTAGTGAGGTATTAAGAATTAATTCCTAGGTTAAATAGGTTGTAATCTGAAAGTTGCTCAGATTACTTACTGCAGTGTGCGTGTGTTCTGTTGAAACTGATTTGGTAGACTCTTAAATTCTATCTGGCGTCCATGTTGATTGGTGTTTTTTTTTTTTTTTTTTTTTTGTGCTCATTATTCTGGTCCGTGTTTGTCAATGCTAGAGTTGAATACTTCTTCTTTTTTTCCTTCCTTTTTTCACATTTTTAAAACTTAACAAGCAGTAGAAAAATACAATAAGCTACTGAAATTTGAAGTTAAGTTAAACAGGTTGGATCGTAATCTATTGGTCAATGTTTTGTCTCCTCGGGAATAAGTTGAGGTTGCCGAGTACATTTTTAAGAACGTTAACCCCTAATTATTTTATTATATAAACTTTTAATTTGATTATATCAATTCAGTACTAACTCGACAATTTTAAATGTGGGATTTAAAGATTTTACCTTTTTGATATTTCAATATTCGTACACCATTATGTTAGACAAAAAAATATGTCACACGCATAGAGGACCTGATTAAATTTATTGCTTGAATAGTGATGAAATTAAGTGCCAAATAACTATATTCTAGAAAACCAATAGTATAAATTTTGGTGTGCTAAAATTATTAATCTTTACCTCCCATATTGAAGAGGAGTACGTCTTCCTAACCTGAAGGCCACGTCACACACCTAAGACGAAACAGAGTTATGAATCACAAGTTTCCATCGCCAAAAGAATATGAGGTTGTTCTTGTCTCAAGATAACGTGGCCCATACAAGACAAGACCGAGACTTAGACAACTCACTCGAAATACACTATGAAGAACAACAAGCAGCTGGAGCCTTATCAAGATGAACAACATGATATTGAAATCCTCAAGGCCGTGGCTCAGGCTTGGCATGGCCATTCCAGCAGCCGTAGAACCACCGTTGAATTCGACGCCCACCGTCTCAATTTCAAGAACAAGCCGTCAAGATTCAAGCTTGAAGCTATGAGCAAGGCAACCTCCACGGAGTATTATGGTGGCAAAGAAAGCTGGGATTTCAGCCAATCCCTTTGGGATTCTTATGAGATTGTTAACTTGACCAAGAAGTTAGAAGCTGGGCTGGCGCTAGACCCTTCATTTTCTGGATTGGATGAAACAATTCGCATTGGGCAGAAGCGGAAAGAGAGTAAAAATAGCTTAAGAAGTTTGTTCAATAGGGTGTCTCCAAGAAGATATGATGAAGCTGATTTAACACCAGATAACGATGACTAATTTTTGACTGGTTTCTTTCCATTACTACTGTAGCTGATATCCTTGTAGTAATATGTAAAATTTGGTTTCGTTTTGTAAAAGAAGCCAAGAGAACTCTCTTTCTCAGATTCTGTTTTTCAGAATGTTGAATTTCGAGGTCCAAATGTTCCACGCGCACTTACCTTTTAAAGAAATAGATAGGAAAAGAAACGAAAACCAAAGTAATCAACTTTTTGTACTGATATTGCCCTGGTTCTTTGTATTAAGAGCTTCCAAGTGGTAAAGCAGCTAATTCTTCTGTACATTTAGGAATATCTTTTTCCCATCCATGACATCATTTAGCTGAGGGCAGCACAAGAAGCCTGAAGCTACAGCCACCAGTGGAATATATGAAAAACAAGAGTGGCGTTTAGTCATTGTGAAGGCCAAAATTCTAGCAATTAGCCATGGTTATATTTTGGTGTTTGATTCCCTTCCACCGAATCAAAGTCCTCTCACTTTTCACATCACCTAAAAGTTTGAACTATAATATTTTGAAAACGAATAATATGCTAAAGCGATTGGAGATTTAGAATACATTTGCGCATTATGGTTTTTCCTTTCCTCAACTGAATTATTATACCTTGTTTTGAAAAATTCTTGCAAGATTGGAACTTGAAGGGATTGTTGTGGATTAGGAGGGTGCTCTCTTAGTTAACAAACTAGCTATTGCTACCGGGGGGGGGAAACCTACAACATTGAATACGGGTTCCCGGGAACCTAGTAAATCTTGCGTAGATCATGTATCTATATTAAGAAATTCATTAAATATTTGTAAATATCTAACTGTGAACCCAGTTATTATTGGATATTAATTTGAATTTACGGCAGGAACCCATAAGCCTCAAATCCTGGATCCGCCTCTCATTACTGCTAAAACAGCAAGTTCTATGTCTTTAGTTGCTTTATCGTTTATTCTTCCTCTTATTCTTTTTTCAAGAGTCGGGGAATTCTGCTTTCTCTCTTAGCTTTCGTTAAAAGAGTACAGGAACTCTTGCAGTATAGCATGTCTTCACTTTGACAATTAAAAGCATATGATTTGTTTCTTAGTCCAGCCTCATCATGGCAGTGTACAAATTCTAATCAGTTCTCTGCAAATTATGTTTTATCAGAAGATTACAGTTCATGAAGGGGAGCCTTAGAGCAACGGTAAAGTTATCTCCGTGTGACCTACAGGTCTCGGGTTCGAGCCCTGGAATCAGCCACTAATGCTTGCATCAGGGTAGGCTGCCTAAATCACACCCCGTGGGGGTGCTCTTCCCCGGATCCTTCGTAGGATGCTTCGTGCACCGGGCCGCGTAGAAGACTACAGTTCATAGTTGCTAAATACTTCTTATACAGTCCTGCCACAGAATAAAGTGGAAGATTTGTTAAGTAAAATGGACCATCTTTTTCAGGGATCTGGACTCTTTCCCTAATTAGAGAATGAGGCTTGCTTCTTCTAAGTTTTATAAGGATTAGAAGATGGTGCTGCAAATTAAAACAAAAGATAAGCTTAGTTATTTGGATGATACCAAAGCCAATCCTATTTGACGAACAAGTTGCACAGGATGAGCAAATAACTAATATCGTCAAACTTCAGTACATATCAACAACTCGCATACAACTGTAAAGACAGTCTACGGTTAAGTGTATACGACAGACAATTTTTTTTTTTATTATACTAGTGATTCAACCAAAGACCTAACAGTCAGAGGGAAGTGTATTGCCTGCCATGCAAATAGTCTATGCTCAATAGACCTTAAAAGTATCCATCTTTGCAAGCTCAAAGGTCTTGTGTTTTCTCTGAATGAAGCTATCAGCTTTATTATCAACCTTTTCCTCTGTGACTTCATATTTTCCATTCCTATCGGCTTCAGTGGTTTTGTCACACTCCACAAAGTGGACTTTCTTGTGATCTTCAGGGGCACGAGAGTGAGACGCATGGTGATAACCACTAGGGAAGCTGTGGTTGTACCTATTCCGATACATATTGCACTGTTCTTCACTGGCTCTCTCCTCTTTGATTTTGAAGTGAGCGTTGGGGTACTCGAACACAGCAGATTCAACTACTTGCATCCTCTCCATTCTTGTTCTACGAGCAAGGTAATCCTCGATAGATTTTTCCCAATTGGGCTGAATGTAAGGGCCACGTGGTATCCTATTCATTTTTCCTTTTTTATTTGATTGATATGCTTTGCCTTAACTAGTCCAGCATTTTATAGACAAAATAGGTGTGTTGGTATTCATATAGGATAAGCTTTGAGCAAGTAAGATGCCTGTTGAATCGGATGCCTTGCCTTTAGTCTGTGTCAACAGTGGATATTCCAGTGAGTAGACAAGAATAAGCCTACTGTAGAGCTTAAAAGATTTTCCTGATAATTTTTGAACTTTGTGGTAATGGGAAATATCAGTACCATCCATCCGATAAGAAGATTGCAGATCTTGGGCTTTTGGAAGAACAAACATGTTGTAATTTATACGCTTTCGAGTTTGAAACTGAGCTATATTAGTAACAGTAGACTCCATTCAGCTTCATGTGGAAAATAAGATAAAAAAGAGTTATCATATACTAGTAAGAATCTACAGCTAGAAACAATGTTCTATCTTCCTATTCCCAATAATAGAGCGCCTCCTCATTTTTCGATATTTTAAAACATAACATTAGCGATATTTCCTCACTGATGAGTCTATCCTAGTTGAGAGTATTCCAATTACATTTTCCAACTTTGGTGGGGAAACAGTAAAGGTTATAAAAGTGTTTAATGATCTCTCAAACTTCAGGTTGAATATAACTAGCTAAATTGTCTTCGTCTGCCAACTGCTGTCTCCTACGTACTGTATTTCTCCTTTATCTGAACTTGTCAAAAATACATCTATAGCATGATATTAATCCATTAAATTCTTCCATTGCAGTTGTCTTTATCCTCAACCAGCAATTTTGCGACTCAGGTCCATTAGTTTTTTCTTCTTGCTCGCGGTCATCCTCTCCTTTGACATAACAAGAGAACCTCGTGCATTCATCAGCTTGCTACGTAGCAGTTTTTACTACTTAATAATCAATAATTAAGGATCAATTTTCTTATTTTACTAACATGGTTTCTTCACTATTGTTTTTCTTTTTCAAACCTGCTTTGAGATGCTTTGCTTGATCCGAGGGTCTATCGGAAACAGCCTCTCTATCTCCACAAGGTAGGGGTAAGATCTGTGACACACTACCCTCCCCAGACCCCCACCTATGGAAATACACTACGTATGTTGTTATCTTATTTTACTCGTACTTCATTTCAGTGTGTTATTTCCTGAAATGACCAAAAAGAGCGTATAACTCGTTAAGAACAGTGATATTCTTTGAACACATAGGTTCCCAATTGAGCCATTGAGGAACAAACACATAACTTAGAATATGGAAGGTGTTAGAAGGGGTCTAAACATGGAGAAGAGAAGGCTTCCGCTTTGTCCTTGAGGTTTGTCAAGCCTAAATCAAACAGGAGATTAGATATGGTGAGGGTGAATGCTTTCAGCCACTGAGCTTGTCAATCTACTTCCTTGATGAAATGATATTAGGACACATTTATGCGTAGCTTTATTCTGATAATTATGAAGGCAAATGATAAAAAGCCTTAGACTCAGAAAAAGCGCCAATAGAAGTGTTTGCAGAAAAGTAAACAGACAACTTTTTATTAGATAGAGCAAATCACAGTGCAAATATACTACTCTCTATAGGAAAAATAAGGTAAACATGAACAAAAGGGCAGCCTGGTACACTAAGCTTCCGCTATGCGCCGGACCACACAGCCTTAACCCTACATTTCTGCAAGAGGCTGTTTCCACGCTCGAACTCGTAATCTCCTGGTCACATGCAAACATGAACGATATTTTTAAATTTCTTCCCCTTATTCTTGTGGGGTACAAACGGATTGATAGAGATGCATGTATTCATATAGAAGTAACATGCATATTATGTAGAATATTGAAGAACACCAGTACCAGCCAGCTGCCTGCAGCCAACAAGTTGGGAACACTTTAACATGACACTTTGAAGGTCCTCCATTTGTGTAGCTCAAAATTCCTGTGCTTCTGGTTGATGTATCCATCAGCCAGCGTGTCAATGTTCTTCACTTCATTCTTGTTGAATTCAGCAGTACCCTTAGATTCTGCAAACTGAACCTTCTTCTGCGACTCTGTCGCCAGGTTCTTTTGACGGTTCAAGCTAGACTCATGTTTTTCAAAGCTTGCTTTGTTTTTGAAAACAGAGTAAACATTTGGGTAGAGAGGAATATCAGGGTGCATGGTTGGGGCTTTTTCCATTCTTTTGATATGATTCAGGAATTCGTCATCGGACGTTGGTTCCCAATACTGCATGGATCTCATATTTTCTTGATTTGCTTAAGTAATTAGCCCTTAGCTTGTTCTTTCTACAGAGTAGTTGCAGCTTGAGCAAACAGATTTTTAAAGGCCCAAACACACTGCTTTATATATTCCAAAAGGACAGATGCCTAGATTTATATTTGAATCCGATTCCTTCTGTCTAGTCCGTATCCAACAGTTGATTCTATTGATATTTCGGCACCGAATCAAAAGAGTAAACTTTTGTATTCTGCAAAATTTAACATTCATATAAATAATGATACTGATCACATTTATCTCAAGTTATTCTCTAAGCTTTAATCCATCGAGCCAAGAGACACCAATTAATTTAGGTCAATGTTCAAACAAATAGTTCACCATTACCTATAGCTTAATTATGTAGAATCCTATGTTATCGACATTGGAGGCACTAATGTTGCAAGTATCTATGAACAGATGTTACATGCTCAAAGATTTCCTACTTAAAAAACAGTAGACGCAGTTGATATTATTCTTTAATAGTTCTATTACAAGATGTGTTTCATATGTTTATCCTTTGGGCATTTGAAGGAGGAGAATGATGCACTCATCATCGAGAAGTTTGTGAAAAATGTTACTCCTATAGAACCGTATGTTGAGGGAAGGATAGATGT